CTTATAATGCAAACATAGGAAAAAAAATTCCTTTCTCTTAAAGAATATCACAGTCATACATTCTACTGTTTCGTGAAAAACATTAAAATGATTTCAACTAACATTATACAGCAGCTTTTCAAATTGCAGCTCAAACAATTTCCGAAGAACTAATTATGACAAACTACTTGAAATAATTACTATTGTTGAGATGAAACAAAAATTGAGAAGCACAGAATGCGGAAGGAAAGTGAACATATTACATATTCTTAACCAAAGTCTTTTACAATTTCTGAAAAGGCCACCATACCTTCCCTATGAAATCTAACAAACTTTGCAATAACTACTACACTTGTCGGTAAGTGTATAATGCCCTTAAATGCAGAGTTTGGTGATTTAATAATGGCTTGTAGTAAGGGAATGACAAGATAGTTAACAAGAAGAAGGGAAGCAGCAGGGATATGCAGTAAATCATTCAATGAAAGTGGTGTCAGGTTATTATCTGGTGATGCCTTCACTCCTTTCACTCACTCTGCAGGGATCAACTAATGTAATACAACAACAGTAATAGTATAATACATTATGTCATTAGTTGCTGCTAAATCTCTCCTTACACCGGTAATTTGAATAACTCATATTCATTATAGGAAAGATTATGCTCAATTAAATAAAGTATATTTAGCTCAGGAAGCTGAGAACTGTATCCCTTATTTTTTCAATTTCAAATATAACTCGGCGACATGCTACGGAGTTAACAACATTTTGCGTTGAACTCTGATGTTTAACCTCTCACAACCATCCTATGCATTTTCAATCTTTCCTTTTCTTCTGATCAGTATAAAATTATGTTTTAATCATTTTCGTTTTGTTGATTGTACTTTATCGCTTCTTATTTTCTAAAATGTTTACAGAAAACTCATTCACTGCAAAAAAATTTGAACAATCTAAGCAACTCTCATTCTGTAATGAGAGAGATACATAAGTTTTCTATTTGTTCCTTTAAAAAAAATTATTATTATTCTCTCAAGCTGGAAGCAATATAGAACTTTACTATAACATAAACCGAACAAAATCTGTAAGATCAAACACACCATTCAGGCCACCTGATCGACATTGTCTCTCGGCCAGCCACCGAGCTGTTCGCTGAGTATCGATCATTTCTAAGCAATCTGCTATCGCCAAGCTTCCCAAACAACAATATACCTGATAAAAAGTTTATCATTCTTAATATTGTTTAAATTATATTTCAACTTAAATTATATTTCAAGTATATCACTGAGGTCAGAATAATTATGGTTGCAAACCTGTCCGGCATGGCTTTCTGAACCAGGTCTGGTTCCAAATCCACCATCGAAATTGTAACAATTAAGAATATAATCAACAGCTTTTCCAACATTTATTGAGTTCCCCAACTTTCCCTAAAATGGACAGAAACCCATTATTTACATCTAACTAAGGATTCCACATACACACATATTTGAAGAAAATAATTTAATGACAAGAAGAGATGAATCACAGCTTCCTTTATTTCCACTGATTTTTAAAAAATTTACCTTTCATAAAAAAAAAAACTTTCGCATGCTCAGTGAATTTATTTGCTATATATAATTCATACTTTCTTACTAGTTATTCCATTTTATAGAGGAAGATCTCTATGTAAGTAAATTTGTCATTATGTTTAAACTTTATGGCTTACAATTAGATGAAGTGTAGCCAGTGCACAGAACGAAAAGCGAGTATCAATCTCATTGTATTCATCGCCACCAAAGCTTCCATCTTCATTTTGTAATGATGCAACATAGCAGGATACCGCATCTGTATCAATTTCGTTCAACTTACCCAACATTACCATTATCTGAAATGTCCCAATACAGGCATCTCTTTGAAAACAGCTATATGAAAATTCCATTATGTCTTCTATACAGTTAAGTTTCATAGTTAATTTCATGGTTCTGATATTTTCAAGATTTTCCAGAAGTTAATTTATCTCTTATGAATCAAGTTTTATTTTCTTAAAAAAAAAAAATTAATGAGAGATGCAAAGAAAACATAACACAAAATATGAATTCGTGGCTGATTATATTCCCAAAAAGACTTCCAAGGAAGCAAAATAACAAGAAAGACAGGTGGGAAGAAAACATACAAGAGGCAAATGGTCTATTTTAAGCTACTGTCAATGATGATCAATAAAAAAACATATGACAAGAACCTCGATGATCAGTGGTGGCAAAATATTTCAGTAAGTTCATATGCAAGCGGTGAGGAAAACAAAAAGTACAAGGAAAATGCAAAGTACAAGGTAATTGCATACAATCATCAATTCCTAACCCAAGCAGATGAACTAATTTACATTGCACAATGTTCGCTCTACAATCATCTCTCTTTTGACCAGTACCGCAACGTAATCTTTCCTTAGTATATTTATTTCCATGCGGCAAACTGTGGATTACGCAGCGGCAGATGGTGATTCAAAGGAAACCTTTAGAAGAAAGAAGTCACAGGTGCATCAGGGTCGGTCATCAGAAGTCGTCAACACGCTTCGTTTAATGATATAATACACATTTCACAATTGGAAATGTGAAGTTACGAATTAAATAATTATATTACTTTGATTTTTAAATGAAAAAAATATTTTCATCAGTTATTATTAATCATGTTTGAGTATTTCATATGCATTCATCTGAATGAAAATTTAAATTGGAATGGAAATTCAGTATACCTAAACATGATTCATAAAATGCAAAATTGCCATATGTTTGTGTACTCTGTTTGGACTTGCTTCTATAACAATTGAAAGAACAATAAGCATAAGTTTACTTGCACAGCACTTAATGTATGCAGTAAGTGTGCATCGTGTTCTTCAGCAGGCGCAAAACCACCATTTGGTTGCTGACATCGTTTCACATAATTCGCAATCTCATTAGTGTCCATTTTAGTCAATCGATTCATTATATCCATTGCTTGCAAGCACCAATAGATACCGCTCATTCGAAGATATTCTGTAGTGACATTTTCCTGTAATTAAAAGCATGGAACCTGACGAAATACTTGTACAAAAGAAAATGACCTTTGCATTTCAAATGATGCAACGATCAACTCTTCACGATCGATTCTAATACCAACACAGTAATATCGATTTTGAACTTTAATGAAACAAATTCATTATGATCAGGTAATAAGAAACTTTAAAATACAAGTACTAAAAAAATATAAGTTAAATAAAAGGTCGGAGTTCTGGAACTAGCAAACACCGTGGTACGCGAAGTACGTAAATCACTAATCGAATCACTTACATAAGATTCTTTGTTTTCGACACAGTGGTGGATGAAATCCACGTGCTTTGTAAGTAACAATTCACTAGCTGCTTCTTTACTAATAACCACATCTTTACGGCAATAATCAAGAAAGATATCCATATTCTGAATTGAAAAAAAAAATTGTGAAGTTAAACTTTTTACATCCATATCTGTATTGAAAAAAAAGCTGTGGAATCAAATTTTTTGGCATCTATCGAGAATCTAGAAATAAGAACGTGTATGTAAATGATAAGTTGGTCTGATTTAGTGCCAATTACTTCATGGCATAATTAATATGAGTCCTTCTGATATCAGTCTAGTATTCAATACAATATCAATGATACCACAGGATGTGAAGATGAGAGCGAGCGTGACACATTGTTGCATGATAAGTACCGTAGTTGTCTATTGTGTGCTCATTAGAAAATTACACTCAGATCTTGATAACAGTAACTCATCTACTATTAGGTAATTAAAACGTGTAAAAAAGATGCAATCAATCATGGCATGAAGAGGGAGTATATAAAAAGGAGAAAATCAGAGAGAATATATCAGTCGTGTTGTCAAAATTTCCATTTACTTACTCTCCATCTTCTTCATCCTTTTCTCCCTGGAAAAATATGTCAACAGATGGGCAAATGAAGAAATGGGTGGGAGCAAGACATCATTATACAGGGACTTTAATTCGGTACGAATTGGATGGGAGGGATAGCACTTCGATTTTGATTGTTTCAAAATTTATATAAAATTCTAGAGAAATCTCATATATCTCTAATACATACATCTATTTCTTATATATTTGCTATAATTACTCCGTTATCCAACACAAACAGTCTTCGGAATGTTATAGTCTGAAGTGTACCTGATCTCTAAGCCTCGAAAGCTCTCAATTGTTATTGCCTAAAGTGAGAAATATAACAAAATATTTTATCGAATCCGAAATCACACTACGACAAGTGCACCATGGTATAAAAATTTTATTCATAATCAAAAAAAAAAAAAAACTATAATCTTCGCAATCCCTTTTGAATGAAGATACAAATCATTTTTAACGGATAGTTTTTTATTTCTAGCTTAGAAAATCTCATACAAGCGAAGGAAAAAAAGATATGATAAATATTACTGATGAAAAGGATAAAACCGACGAAATTAAGATAACTTTATTAGAAAAAAATCCCTAGAAACAATTTTTAGAAATTCCTGTACTATTTTGGAAATGACTTGCTTCCTTATCTTCTCTTTTTATTATTCCAAACCTAGTTTTTACGAGGCCAGACCATGAGTTATTGTAGAACGACATAGACCGAATACCACATTTTGACAAGACTAACATTAGAACTGAACTTCAACATTTTCAGATAAAATCATAACTAAACAACGTAATCATAACCCAACAAGAGATGGAATAATATAATAAAAAAGACCAACTCAATACTTGAAGTAATAAGGAAAAATGATTATCAAGCAATACAACTTTGCTACCTAGTCAACATGATGTGAGATCAACTGATGATGAAATAAGGGACATGTAAACATCGCACTAGTTGTTCAGTGTTAATTTACTATTGCAAGAAAAATAAGCAATTATTCCCTAAAAACAAAACTAAATTAATAAAGTTGAGCAAAGTTAAGACAAAATGCGACATAACTTTCGACATAACCTTGAGTGAGAGTATTCCCAAGAAGCAATAATAGCAACCAATTGCAATTGCTATATTCATATATTCAAATTTCCGCAATATTATTATCGAGTAAAAGGTTCCTCAGTCGTACAATTTCTTTTTCAAGTTCTTCGATACGATTCTTAAGAGATTCCACATTTTCTCCAATTTTACCAAGCTTAGAGGTAATTTCAAAAGCATGAATTCGTTCCTGTGAATCTTCTTTACACATTTCTTTAATCAAATTAGCCTGAAAGAAGACAATGATCAACAACTGTTACTCAGTAGAATGGTAAAGTATTAAAGAAACTGCGCTGTGATAAGCAATAAAAATTCTCGATTAGTCCGTTTTGAAAATCTTCCACTCCATCATGAAACTAAAGTGGAAACCGACAAAAGCCCTTTGAACTCCGATAAAGCTTTACTCTGCTTCTCCTAAAAGATAATGCACCAATTCTAAATGCACCATTCGGCAACATTGACGTAGCACTATATTTCATTGATGGATATAACGGTCGTCGCATTATGTAATAATGGTGGAAATGGTCGAAAGAAACGACTAATATAACGAGGCCTTGCACATTTGTTAAAAGAAAAATGCTTTTGATTAGCTTTATAAGTTTTATAATTAGTTAAAATATCCTATCGATAGGTTTTTCAGTGCAATGTTCTTGGTATCATCGAATTCAAACATAAATCTCGTTGCCAACTATTTAGGCTATGTATCATAAGCTAAATGCTTTGAATTCACACTATTATTCTACACGGATACGGATATTCACTACGCATGATTATCAGCTTACTGAAAGTTAATTAAAAATTAAAAATTTTCACTCATGTGGTAACGCTCATGATGAAAATGACGAGATAATGGATGTATTGAAAATGCCTTTAGATTTTTATTTTAGTCTCTTCTATCTGCATTCAACAGTGAGAAATAGAGGATTGGATAGACTTGGTGAAGAAAGCCTTGGGAATATAATCAGGATATATAAGTGCTATGATAAATTGTAAAAACATTGAAAAACTTGAATAGAAGTAATACTGAATGATAGATTGGCATTACTTTTTTCAGCCACAAAATCAGCAAATGGTGAACCTTGTCGGGAAAAGAAGTATTGAATTCCTCGGTTAGTTTTCCTTTCTTCAATTCCCCAATAGCTTCTAATCGCTCCATTTGTGTACCAAATGGAATACATAGTTCAAAAAACACAATTCCAGCACTGTAGACATCTACCTGAGATGGTTAAAACATATCTCCAGCCCATTTTTATATCCTTCTAAATCAAAAATTTAACTAAATAGAAAATTGTGGAAATTATCGGGATTGCTGAAATCTAAAATTGTCAAAACACTTTAGGAGTAATCAAAACTGAATATTGAACAGTTTATATATGGATTCATGGCTTTTATGACTCTCAGTGGAAGTCAAATCATAACTGTTCAGAATTACTAATCATACAAATAAAATATCCTAAATTCCATGTAAAGGAATAATAACAATCACTCACTGCACTATCGTATACAGTAGAATTCTGTTGTTCGGGTGCTGCGTATACGGAAGTACCAACACCTAAACTGTGTGTAGTTGTTGTCTCACTTTCAGTAACTGCAGCACTGTAAACTACTTTACTTTGATGTAGGCATGCTAGTCCAAAATCGCCCAAAAGTACAGATGGAATTGGAGAACTCTCGTTACGAAGGAAAATATTGCTCGGCTGAAACCAAATTACATTCAAACACTGATATTAATATTAGAATGGATCCAATGTCACTAAACATGAATTTAGTAGTTTGAACAATTAAATTCGAAAAAATGATCACAGCCCATCAAGAACTATGATTAAAGTATTACTTTACCAACTGGGCCAGATACTTAATTTTCCTAGTAAAACCTGAAGATTCACCAAATTAAATTATATTTCAGATTGCTGTAATATAAATTTTGAGTCTTAATAATTTCAATCAAAAATCAATGTATTATGAGTTATGTATTATGATGTTAAACAAAATATAATTGCGATATTACAATGTCAAAAAATTCAAGAGTTCATCAATCAAAAAAAGTTACTGGTATAATACATGTATGAGTTATAAGTTGACGTTCGCGCTTCGAACGTCCATTTGCACAAAATTATTTTTTACAAACATAGAAATGAGACAAAACCAATCAAATGAAATTAAAATAAAGCTAAGCTACAATAAAAACACCAGATCGTTGCTTTTTCGGGCTTATTTTTTGGAATTTTACATAAAACAATAACCAAATATTTTCTGAAGTTTAACAGAACAAAACAAACTTTGATATCTCGGTGGATAATTTTTTTGGAATGTAAGTGAGTCACGGCAGACATTAGTTGCTTCATAATGTTTCTATTCAGCTGTCGATCTATTTTCGGCCTGATTTCTGCAACGAATTTGATCTCACGGCATACATTTAAAAACCCTTTTGCAACCCTTTTTAACACTCCAGTCGAGCGATCAATAACGATCTTCAGAAAATGAGAATAAAAAACATACCGGCATTTCGTTCAGCAAAATAATCATTTAGAGTACGTGAACAAAGTTCCATCTGTACAAACATAACTGCAGTACCCTGAAAATAAATTTCTCGATGCAGAAAACTTCAATTACAGAATCAATGAATTCCGCTCACCGAGTGAGGTAGCATTAGATTTACTCGATCAGTCCTCGCACTTCCTCTTGCAATCGTTAAGCTTTCATTGGGAGAAACACTCTGATTCATTTTCCACCCTCTTGAAATCGTTGAACTCGAAATGAATGGAGATTCCTGCGTCCAAAAACGATCTCGTTTTAAGGAATTGTGCTAAATTCCTTTCTGGAATTACCCTTATCAGCCTAAATCAAAGAAAAAAATCTCTGTATAAAAATGACGAATTTTATGGATTTGAACAAAAAGCCATGTTGTGCAAAAATATTTAAAGAAAAAGAAAAAAATCTTGAAAAAAAAAATCAATCTTTTGTGAGGCAATGCATACCATCTGATCAAGTTTTGAGTAATCATTAACTGGCAAAGAAATAGTTTTTCTTTCTTCTTTAGATGAATTCTTCTGAACAACTTCCTCCCTTAATTTTAAATTTTATTTGAACCACAAAACTACTGATAGTAAAAACAACAAAATTCGGAAACAACACCGCATTTGGAGAAAATAACATTTAAAATAAAAAAGAACAACGACCTTACTCACTCTTCATTAGAATATTCATCCTTATCTTCGCATGATGATGTTTGTAGATCTTGCAACTCCAGCCAAGCTCCATAATATCGCACAATATTCCTATGTTGAACAACTGCTAGCAAGCGAACTTCATTGACAATCTACAATTTGATGAATTTTGAAAGCTAAAATAGAGATTCACACTTTCTCAAAATCAGTCTTTGAAGTTTGAGTTATAATGTATTACAGAAATTTTATTCGCTTTTGAAATTACTCATTAAGATAATTAACTTTCGCCACTGGCTTAGACATCCTCAAGTTGAGCTGAATTTTTTTTATAGCATAATCGCAATCATCAATATTAGAATGTAAACGAAAACTTATGCTGAAAAGAGTTTCTTCAACCTATAAAATCTCCTCACTCCAATTTTACTTGAAAGAAAAAAAAAAAAAAATGAACATGGCAGAAATGTCTCCGTTCAATTAAGTTTTAAAAGCAAAATTTATACACCTTCGCTTTTTTCTCATAAACTTACCTACAAGTTCATTTTTCTCATAAATTAAGCATGTCCTAATACTTAAGAAATTTAAGGTCCAAGCACTACATGAAAAACTTCTCCAAAGCCTCCACGTCCAATGCTCCTGATTTCTTTGAAATCGACGCTATATCGGCTGGATAAAAAATAATTCCTTTTTTCAGGATTATTAACGGCTAAACTGCAATCAAACTCCAAATTATTTGGGTGTTTTCCCTCTTAAAATAGACATGAAGTGAAAACATTCCTAAAATGGATTATTTTAAAAATAAATCTGAAATGAATTTTCTTCAGTACAGCGACATTATATATTGATTAAAGAACAATCACTTTTCTGCATAAATATTTTTAACACAGGCACGAGGGTACTATACCTATTTCCGACTTTCAGGTTTGTAGCAGCATTCAAAGCTTCCGTTATTCTCCTCCTAATTGTGATGCGAAATGCTCCATAATCTTCGGAGAGATATGAAGAATGGATAAAGTGTCCAGCAACCTGCCTCAAAACTAAAACAATCACATGATCCAGTAAGTATCTTTTATCATCCAAAAATTATGGCATCTAAATAGATTTGAGCGAGGAAACACACAAATTTCAAAAGCTGTGCTAATCCTAACATAAGCGAGAATTATACCTTCCCGAAACTGAATATTCAAACCCTCAAATTCACCGTTGCACAACATTTCAATGATCGATGCAAAAAAAATTTCCATCTGAAACAGTTTTGTCCTTTTCTTATTTTTCGTTGTTTTCGATGAATGTAGAGATTTATCCTCGCCATCTAAATAAACACAAAATTACATTGAAAGTTCTAAAGAAGCTATGATAATTACTTAAAATATATAAATTCCGATCGCTTAGAATACAGTATTATGAGTTAAGAACGGTAAAGAATGAGAATAATTTAGAGAAGCAAATATCTATCTTCTAGTGACTATCTCAAATAATCTAATCATATTTCGCAGTTTAACTGCATTCTTCCAAATTAATGGTTTCATACACGAAGGAACAAGGTTTAGGTAAGGGAGATAAAACGCTAGAAAGTGCAGCCAAAGTATCAACTCAATCTACAGAAGTCTTTCAAATCATAAAAAATAAGGGAAATATAGTAGAGATTTATATGAGAAACTTGTTGAAATCCTTGGTGCGACAATCCATTTCTCCAATTCCTCGTCCATATTATTACCGCTACTAGTGTTCTCGCCAAATGAAAAGAATTCTAGAAGTTATACATATCTCTTAAAGCACTTCGTGAATTTTTCTACTGTATTATACTCAATTTTTAAAATGCATGAAGTCATTACCATAATTACAAACTAAACGATCTGAAGGGTCAAGTGAGAGCAAACATTACTACAAGACTGCAAGATTAATATTACCCTTGCTTTTTATGATGCATTAAGATTTTAATTTTTAGACACTTAAATTAAGTCGTATAGGAAGCCAAATTTATAACTTACTCTACATTTCTGTAATCTACGACTAATAAATAATTAAGTTTAGTCCAAATATTTGCAAACCTCCAGATGAATTCGTACCACTACAATTAAAAATGGAACCTTCAGACGTCAAATTAGCATTTAAACCACAGACATTACTGCCAGCATCTTTCGCATTTTTATTCCGTTTCTTGACTATTTCCTCCTCGTCTATCGAGTAGTCGCTGCCTTTGGATTCAGAACTAGTTCCCGACAACAAATCAATTCCACTGCAATCCTACAATAAATTGAACTCACTGAATTATCACTGAGTTATCGGAAAACTGAATTATCACTGAGTTATCTGAAAACTGAAGATGCTGTCTCATAATAAAAAAGAGTTTCACTCAATTATAATTTAAACAGCAAATAGATTGATATAAAAAATGGATGTTTCTTCCTATAAGATTAACGCTCCAGCACTCAGCATTTGAGGCGAAAAAATTTGGTGTAGTGAACTACCCCGACAGTAGTGGACCCCCTTTTGGAATTTTCTTAAAAGTCAGATCTAGGCCATATATATTACATCAATCAACGCACAGTAATACGTAAAACTGATTTACTTCAAAACGACCACTAAAAGTAGAAAAGACTGGAAATAAAAAACGAATACCTACTTTAATGTTCACCATATCGTATTCTGCGAATTGTTTCTAACAACGAGACAAATCCCACAATGAATTCAATAACTTCATTCTTACTGATAATTCAACACTAATAGCTACAAACTGATATCACTATATCACTCTTCTGTCAACATCATCAAACTTCGAAATCGGAAGATTCAATAATTATTTAAAAATGTCAAATCTTCCGTTTCCGATATCTTGATAACAGCTGCAGAAATAAAGCATGAAATAAGTGTCAGCAGATCTCCCTTCAAGAAAATTGAATAATATTCAAATTGAGAAGACATATCTGTTTCACAATTAAGTAGGTCAGCTACACAAAGAAAGGAAAAGAGAAGGAAGCAAAGCAAAAAACTACAAGTTCTTTTTCGTTTGCGATGAGCCATGAATGATGAAGATATCAAAATCAAAAACATCTCAACTCAAAGTTTTAACGAATCACTGAATACAAGTTCAAACAAATCAGCTTTCTCAGTTTAAGCAACTGAAAAGTTCTAAACTTCACCAACCAAAAGATTGAATTAGCATTAAATAACTGTCGTTATAAATAGCCTGCAGTCATCATTAAAATTTTATGTGTTTTAAGTAGTAAAATAAAGCTACTACAGAAGATAGATAAGTGTATCAACGAAACAATGAAGAAAAAGAAAAAAAAGTATAATAGATATAAAAGCCAGCATCAATTCTTATAGAAATGACATTTTAACTTTTTCTATTTCAATTCAAAACTTCCAACTAAAATTTTTAAAGTGAAAATTTTGATCCCATTAAGACTTTTGAGCAACAACTAGCGAGAATTGCATATATTACGTATTTCTGCTTTGTACAAATTAAATTCGTGAATCGAAACGGTTTTCTTCAAAACATATCAATCCTATAAAAGTTAATATTCACAAGAGCCATCCTTCCAACCATTTAACCATCGTTCCTTCCATTGAGTACAGTCATATTCAGTTTTACCAAGTTTCTTATTAACTCTGTTATGTAATCCACACATCCACAATGAAAAACTTTCACGGTCTTCAACATCTGGAGGATGTTTTGCCAAATCTTGGCGTAAATCTTCCGCACAATGCGAACATGGATACGCCTATAAAAAATAATGCGAAATAATTTTTGCGAATTCTTTCCAAATACTGAATAAGTATTAGTGTATAAGTTTACAGGAGTAAAACTGTGCAAAGTTCAATGCAGAAATATCTTCACGTAACAAGTACTAAATCAACAAATACTTGGTCACTAAACAACAGCTGAAAAGGAACACTACTACCTTTCCTAAGAGATCCATTAGCACAATTGCATTCTTTTTTTGTTCTGGTGTTGGCTTAAGGGGATAATATGCTGCTATTGTATGAAGCAGATTCCAAGTTGAATTTCCTAATTTTTCAGTAGTGAGAGGACAGTCGCTCCTCACTGGTTTCGTTTTAACTGATCCCTGAAAGAGCTAACCATATATTTCAGGAAAATTTTTATTTTCACGGGTTATTGTTGCAATGAAAAGACAACCTGATGGGTACTGCAATTCATCAAATATTCCAGAATACGACGGTTATTTGTAAAAACGATTAAAAGAATGCACATTCAAGTCATAAATCATTTTCACGATAATCAGCAATAAAAAAAAAACCCCTCTTCAGGAACATTATTTCATTCCTTCCATGCTGCAATGAACAAAATACAAACTGATGAAGCCTGAATAGTTAATGATCGTCGTGCACTATTCTCTGTGGACACTTTTCCGGCTAATTTTCGAGCACGTTCCATCAACTCTTCAACGCTCATACATGCACGACAATGTTCACTGCCAGAGGTAGGTGAAGAAGCCGACATTGCAAATACTACCTGCCATAACAAATATGTACTCCCAAATTTGTGAAAATGAATAACTCCCACAATTCCTTATTACCCATTACTTTGAGGTAGACACAATATGTATCTGTAACTTCCATTGACAAAAAGGATACTATGCTCATCACATCTCACAAAAAGGCTTTTATCAAAATTGGCACTTATAGAAAATAGAATGCTGCAATAAGGACATTTGCACAATAAAAGCAAATGACAAATCAATGGTAATGTAATGCAAACAATTATGAGAGTCACAAAAGTTTTCTTTCTTTTATGAGCTTCCATATAATGCCAATAAATAGTGCAGCATGAAAGGAAATAACTTCTTCAAATTAGCTTTAAAAAAAGATTAAATAACTTTGGAGAAAAACTGAAAAACTTGACGAAAATGGAATCTAAAAAAATACTTCAGTGACCAACTGATAGAACTGATTCATGAGTTAGCAAAAACTACGGCAAGTGTAGAAAGAAAGATGTCAAAACATGAACAAGTATTTCAATTCCATCTTCGCTTAACAACAAATTTAGTACTCTATAATGCGGTGAAAAGACATAATGCTGTAAGACAGCGACGAATGTCTGCTTTTATTTCCCGAATAAGGCTACCTAAAACTACTTAAAACTTATAAATAAAAAAAAAGTCAAAATTAATGTAGTCGACTAAACGACGCAGCACGATGACCGATATAACAAGTTTCATCCGGCAAAGAATCAACTGAAGACGACGGTATACGTAATATTTCGCGAATGTGATGCAAAATTAAATCGATAGCAACATTATTATCAGCACCACGTGGAACAATAACATCAGCATACTTCTTGGTCGGTAAGCAAAATTCCTCGAATGCTGGTTTCACAAGATTCAGGTACTGATGGAGAACCTAAAAGTAGAAAAATAATTCAAAAATTTAGGTCTATTTGCATTGCACGTTTCCATCGATTTTTATACAAGAAACTTCACTTTTATAACATGTAAATAAGAATTTTTTTGAGTCATTTACTTGGGAGAGCGAGCGTCCCCTTTCCTGTGTATCTCTTTGGACACGTCGAGCTAAACGATCATCGGAGTCAGCATCAACAAACAGTTTCATATCAAAAAGATTTCGCAGTTCTTGGTCATAGAGAATCAATATTCCTTCAACAATTATAACATCTGCTGATTCAATCACATCAGAATCCTTCGACCTGCAAAAGCTTCTAAGGAAATCACCAACGTTAGTAAAAATAAAAACTGGTTCAAATAATTACTTTGAGAAGCACAGATACTATGAACAAGTTTGTCTGTCACAGCAAAATTCTTTCGTAAATATTACGAAAGATTGAAAAAATTATCACTTCACTAATACACTATATGAGCTTAAATATTAAACACTTTTTTTACAAAAATTACAGTCAAAATACATGAAATTTATTAAAAAATGTGGAAGCTTAACCTCGAATTCGTGCAAAAGTCATATTTTGGAACGATGACACTTTCACCTTTCTTCATTTTGTGAAGAATTGATATCATAAGGGTAAATTCAATGGCATCTAAACTCTTGAAAATTAAAAACACTGTGTAGTAACAAGGAGATAAAAGCTTTATTTCTTCGACATTGAAACAGCTGCAAATGAAATTTCCTATGTAAAACCTCAATGAATTAAGATATGGAACCTGGATGATCGAAATTAAATTCCCCGCGATTTGCCTTTCTGATCTCCTCATCTGATAAACTGCGATAAAATGAATCTTGTGATATGGTCACTACTCGCCGTTCATGAGCCTTTCCTAGTTTTTCCATTATTCGAGAACATACTGACGACTGAACATTACAAATCATGATCATTTCTAAGTGATATAAACATTGGAGAAATGATAAAACAGTTAATAATTATGTGATAGCTATCCACATCGGTTTATTTGCATTTACTGCTATTTTCATAAGCGTCATCTTTGCTTGAAAAGCTTATTCTCACTAAATCTTGTTTTCTATACCACTGTGTGGTTTAGAATTTGTCATATTACATTTAGAAAAAGATAATAAGTATAAAGCCATATGATAATGGAGAGAGATTACAATTGGGCATCATTCTTCAGCATGTATATAAAATAAAATAACCTTTCCGGATGCTGTTCCACCAGCGACACCAATAATAAATGGAACTTTTGTCATAATAGGAAAATGTTCGAAATCATGTACTATACTCATCTTCGGTTTCACACTTTCTTATAGATACTGGCATTACCTTGCACCTGAAGTAACAAAATATGCAACTGCAAACACGCACAAATAACACGCTTTTACCTTGCTACCACCATTCGAAAATGATATTAACTATTATCACTTCATATGATCATCCCAACTTGCTTAAAACCGTGATCTGTGATCCATGTTTGGATTAGAGTTTTGGCCTTAATCTTGAAGTATATAGAACTACTTCAAACGTAAAAAAATTTCGGGAAAGTTCTAATACTCACGTGATGGAAAAGAGAATGGGGCTCAATCCTATCAATGAAATACTAAAATTATTTTCAATTTAATAATCAAGCACCACAGACTCATGTTTTGAGAGATCTCAGGAACTATGATTTTTGATTTTCGCACAATATCATGAAAGCAGACCATGAAATTTGGATTTTTTTTTTGAAAGCAGTTGACAATGAAAGAAAAGAAAAGATATGACTTTTATGAATCAATTAATACCATTCTCAAAGGACCAGAAAGTCAAGGAAACCAGCACCACTTAGGGTCAACGATCAGAGTATGCTTACAGTGCATACCGTCAAGACGTAACATTTGTTTCTATCGCCGCCTACTACGAAACGCTATATCCCCTGAGTTTTTAAATAAATAGTGCCAAAACAGACTTAGATTTCCAATGACATATATTGAGATCTACTAACGGGATGTCTGGGACAGTTTGATACAGAAGTTTGTTAGGATGTCCCAGCTTATTTCCTTGTCTTATCTATGATATGTATAACGGTAGCTAAGACGTGTAGCAATTGATACTTAAATTGCTGATTTCCATTGCTGATATGACTACATGGAGAGGAAGAAATTTCATTTATGTAATGGAACGGATCAGTGAAGGAATATTATCTTCTCCAATTATCTATCTAACAAATCTCATCTGCACCGATTTTATGATACGTGACATCTGTTTCGCTTATATATTAAAGTGTGATCAAAGTAATAAAAGCAAGATCTAATCTAATCCCGCTATCACTAATTCCCTCCAATTTCAATCCAATACTAACAGGACTCCAACTTTAATCCACAGATACAACAACATAACCGATAACTAGGATATAAACCTCCTGTTGAAATCATTCCTTCTTTTGTATCTTTGAAAGTCACAAAGACTTCTAGATTCTGAGTGGGAAAATATTAAAGTATTTAAATGGTTTGTTCAGAACACCAAAGAAAACAGAAGGAAAAATTTATTTATGACTCTTAAAGTAACATCAAAGAAGCAAATATAAATTTATGCATTTTCAGATGGCATACTTCGAATAATATCTGAATCTCCAGCATCCGTAATTGATAATGTGCAAACGCGAAACAATTTCCCACATGCCGTGCCCAATTCAATATTGTTACCGTTGTAATGATGAACACCTGTCTTCGCTAACATCGCGTAATATTCAATTTCACTTTTCCTAAAGTGAACTAAATCTTACTCCGCCGTTATTCGAGTGTAGCGTTGCTAAGCACATTTCACTCAGCACATTGTGTACGCTTCTTGATTATACCATATATATTTGATCTTATCAAAGAATTAATCTGAATACTTTATAACGTTGTAAAATGAAAGTCGAGTCTACGCAATTGAAGAATGTTCGCAGTGATGTTTCAAGGAATCCGTGAAAACAGAGTACAAATGTAAACTCATCAAACTAAAATTAAAGCGTAAGAATTATATTAAAAGCCATGCTTAAAAAACGTGTATTTACAACGCTGCTTGCAGCAAACATCCTACTCTAACTGCTTTACTCGGTTACTCATCACATATTCGATTCAGGATAGGCCAGTGTCACTTAAGGACTGGAAAACCATAACGCTTCGAATCATTTGTAATTAGTAAAAGCAATTTCTTTTTTCTTCATTCTTCATTATAATGGAACTACTACTACTACTAGTATTACCAAGGTCTCGTTGAGGTAAATTCAAGTACATGTACAACAAACCTGAGAGGTGGGGTATTATTAGCGATAATAACCAATTTGGCTTTACCAGCCCGCAATGTTTTTAGTGTTTGCTTATATCCTAAACAGTACTTTCCACTTTTCATTACCATTGCAAGTCTTGCATTGATATTTTCTGTTGACTTTTTCTGCAAATTTACTTATACAAATTAAAGCACAAAAAAAAGTGGAGGAAGGAAACAAGCATAAATTCTGGTAAGTTGTGTGGTTAAAACTATTTTACAGTTAAAGCCATCTAAACCGCCTCAGTTTTTAGCAATGACAATAGTATATAAGCTCTCCATATTCACTATCTCTACCACATAGCCTTTTCAGAAGAAAACAAACATACTGACTATATGGGCCAAATTAGCATGAAATACTCAAACCTGCTTCTTCACAGCCATTTCCTCCTGTTTCTGTCGTCCTGCAACCTGCAAAATGATCCATACTTTTTAACAATGCCAACTACCCCAGTAACCCATGACCTACCCACGACCACAACCACCCCTTACACCCTAATAACGTTCGACTCCAATGGTGGCACGACCATGAAAAGTCCAAAATGAAATTGTTAAATCCCGTAACAGCAGTGCTGTATTCGATGGTGTGATGTAATGGAATGCGAGGAATGTCTCTTTGTCAGTGTCATAAATTTTCATGCAGTGTTGCTCTTGTCTTACATACCTTTGACGTAAGAGGCTACCGGATTGGGCAGGGAGATTGACAGGGAGATAATGTCCCGTAGATATGCAAGGAGCGAAAGATTCTGCTGTACGACGGCTAATCGTTTACAGAAGTCATTGAGAATCGTTTATTTTGCAGTAATTTATGAATTTTTCAGATATCGAGTAAGGTTCTGAAATTTTGTTTCTGTTTTTTTTTTTTGTTTTTGTTTCCAGTTTAATAAACCAAATCTTTCGTTCGAATTTATTTTTGGTGAAAAAAGGTGAGCAATTCCAACAAAAGTTATTAGTTGGTCCAAGTTTTCTAACTAAATATATAACTGAAAGTTTCAAGGATGAAGAGGTCAATGGACAAATTCTGATTCTAAATGCTGAGAAAAGAGGTTTCTTTTTTGTTTAACTTGATTTCAATACCGATTTCGTTGCAATAGCTTTTTTTCTATGAGATTTATGACTATCTTATTATTTGAATGAATATTATTTGGGTCTAGGTAGCCAATCACGCTAATCACTTAAATATGATAAGTTAGCCGAACAGGTGTATCAAGTTAAATGTTATTGTGCACCTTTTCATAAGGCACAACAGTTTTTTGGACTAAAGAGATAAGAAGTGTTATGAATTTGAGCGATGAATGATAATTTGTCTTTTATTCAGTTACAACTTTTTGTGGAATTTATGCATTACTTAATAGTCCCACATTACGAGTGGATATTGACCTCTAATTTGCCTCTTGTTGCTTAAATTTAATTTGCACCAATTTGCCCTCCGATTATTTTCAAATTATGCATTCAGCAGTTCGACCCAAATGTGCAGTTCAAAATCTACTCTGAATTTTGTTCCAGTTATCTCATGTTTTAATCATATTGCAACTTTTCATTGTCATTTTATCAAAACATTTACAGACTGTAAAGAAAAGTTGCTTTAAAAAACTTTTGCAGCGGTTTTGCAATTAAATGAACTTAAATTTATACAGTATTTATTTGTTGTAGTGCTAACAGCTGAGGTTGAACGATGAAGCGTTTAGATATAAAACAAATTTTCGAAATATTAAAGCGATTAACAACAGAAGTGAACTAATTTTGAATAGAAGTTTCACTTCCAGTTAGAGGAAAAATCAAAATTATTACTCAGCGAATCATTAATCAAACATTTTTCATTGAAAGTTTTAACATTCTTCACTCAAAGTATTGGCTCATTTGAGTGCGATTGAAAAAAGCACCTGTCATCACAACAAGAATTTTGAATTAAATAATTTCAGAAAATGAGCAGTTAAAAATGTTTCAGAAATATGAAACTTATGTAGAACAGTAATCAGATTTCAGAATACTTTTATTGTTAGATGGGAAATGAGTGAAGTAGAAGGTCATAAGTCATGATCGGAGATAAAATCAACCTTTCATTATTTCATCTAATGAACAGATAGTAATGACCACTTCTCTTCTATCTGCTGGTTTTACAATGCGATTTAAACATGCGTTGCAGAAAATTATTTTCCGTCAAAATAAAACTCTTCCAAGTGCAGGAAAACTTTTCCTGTGGCAGTTCTCTTGGATTATACCTTATTTACTGGTTAGCTAACTAATGCTTCGTTTAAAATTAATTTCTGCACCAGAATATATAATGTAACACGAACATTTCTTGCAAAGTTACATGTGGGAGATTAATTTTGAACAACTGAAAAGGAGAAGACAAACTTCTCCTTTCCTGTCATATTTTTCATTTGTAATTCCCCTTAATGCGGTTTATTTCCTGTCAACATTAAATTCATAATTTGCATTTCGAAATTGTTGCAGTTGTCGAATTATTTGGAACGGAATCTCTTTCCACTGCGTTTGTTATGTTACACACAGCATGAGTTGCTTAAGGTGCCGCATGGTGAAAAAGTTGACTTGAGCTCCTGTTTGCGACAGTTCTTTCTTTCATCAGAACAGAAATTTAATAAGACAAAGAAATGCTTATATGAGGAACCATTTCGGATTCTTATATCTCCAAGGATTTCACATCATCTAGACAGAATAAATGTGGTTCGCAGTGCACCGTCGGCATGTGATTATCGCAATTATGTCCGAGAAACGTGGAAATCCGATATGGAGCCAGATATTCCTGTTATTTTTGTTTTTGGTACTGGTGAATACGATCCAAAACAAGAAGCTGCAGTTTATCGGGACATCATGCAATTCGATTTTGTCGATTCTTATTTCAATCTTACACTAAAAATAATTTTAGTATATAGGCATTTATTCAAAAAGTTTCCTCGTTTAGAAGAAATTGTTATGATTAATGACGACGCTATTGCAAACGCCACTGCTATAAGAAAAGTATTCATTATGCATTAAACTGATTTTAATTAAAAATTTGACTTCTTTGACTTATTAGTAAATGTTACATTCTTTTGGAATCATCAATAGATTTCTTCAACATAACATTTTTGATTTGAATGGGTCATTTTATATTTGTTTAAAATCATCTAAGTCTAAGAGAATAGTATGATTATTTTTATCATTCCATATGAAATCTTTCAGAGAAGTGCTTCTTTCTTCATCTAAACGTATTTCAGATGAATCGGATGAAAGGCGCATCGTTCCGTGGAAAAGTATCACGCGGTTATCCAAGACTATTTCTGAGTTCGCTGTTATGGTATGTACCATATGAAATGTATCCAAAATTGTGTTATCCTCCGTTTGTACAGGTTCACTTTGATTGAAAATTTCTTACTTATCACTTTACTCTTAAATTGTAATTTGTAAGTGAAAAGACTTTCATAAACTTTTTTCTTCCATCAAAGCTTGAAGTTTCAATTTATTTTTTCACTTTAAGAGGAAAATTTAATAAAGAATAGGCAATTTAAAATAATTGCATAATGATCAAATAAAATCTACAGGCAGACGACCTTTTGTTTTACTGACATATAGATGTTTCTAAACAGTTTAACACTCACTTTTAGATGTAACTTCTAACTTTAGTACTTGTAATTAGTCTGACTTATGGTGAGATTGATAATGGATGATAAGCAGCTACTAATGAAATTATAAGCATGAAGATTTCCATTCGGAACGTAATCGATTTCTTAATATGAACCTAGTTAAAAAGTATTCACATTTATAATTAATCTTCTGAATCAATTTAGGGCTCAGGCCTTATTGTAACACGTGAAGCAGCCCAGCGTATACTGGATGGCATTTGTTCGTTCCCACTGTTTAATCTCGACGATGTTTTTATGGGTATTCTGGCCAGATGTCTAAGTATCAACATGGAACACTATGATGGCTTCGATGAGCATCATTCTGATAATACTTTTATCGTTTTTCATTACCAATGGGCGCGGTACTCCGTGGCACGCCTACATTTCTTGTATAAGAAAGCACTTAAGGATTTCTGACTGAAAGTCCAGGCAATGGGAACAGATAACATTGTATAATTGTGGGTAAGAGTGAAGTATTTATAAAATAAGAAAGTTTTTGAAAAATTTTAATTCATCTTTAATTTTCCTCTACCAAAATCATTTTCCCTCCGCATAGTCTTTCAGGGGCAAAAATAAAATTTGCTCCAACTTTCTACTATTTGTTTTCTTTTGAAGATACAACTACAGCTAGTCAATTTAAAACTGTGATGTTGAAGTTATCATCCTCACGTTACTGCAATCAAAATTTATGTAAACACCATTGACATATACATTCGAAAAAGTGTAACAACTTATTATAAGTTTAGAAAGTTTTGGTACTTCTTGCAGAATAAACTGTTTTTATTTTGTACTGATTCTATCTAATCTGAAAATTAGAAGAGATCGTTTAGTTATATTTTCAATTGACTAATAACACCGTTTAACTGATAAATTTTTAACCTTACTCCGATGAAATTCTGATAAACCTCACAGAAGCGCATTTTCATTGATGTCAAAGCTTCATAACTGCCTAGCCAAGAAATGGGGAGACCTGGAAACATTAATGATTACATTATCAAATTAGTAACAAATCCCTAGCTGCTGCTCACCATTATAGAATTTGTAGAATCAATGCTGAAAGTGAAGAATAAGTTTACGAGGAACTCCTACCTGTTTTAGAAATTTTTCCCAGCTTTTTTAGTTTAAGAAAATTTTCTTTTACCATTGGTATTCTAATCAACATGCGCTAATTAATTCATTAATTAGGAGAGTTCATTCAGATTTGAATTTTTTATTTAACACACACATTTATGCTCACGAGCTTTTTGCTTCGTTGTTTAGAAATTTTTCAACTAGAGAAGAAGAATAAATGAAAACAACAGATATACTAGACTGACAAAATTGTTCATCTTAACAACAAATCTGTTATTGGAAGGTTTCGTCCTTCTCTTCAAGTGACAAAGTGTTACTGGTCACAATCTGGTCATCCGGGAACAAAACAGCCAGAGCATCATTAATTCGATTGCAAAATCCATTTAAACTGAAGTACTGTTCAAAACGTTTTCGCTGCAACAAACATATTGATTATTTCCTCCATCAATAGGATCTTCTAAATTTACTGTTTAGATCTAGTTCAACAACCTTCTAAAACACTGTACTGAATGGATCTATTCAGCCTGGCCATTTAGCTGAATTTGTCCACACCTATAATCTCTTGTATAATGAAGCAAACATGAAAAAGCAAAAATAAGATTGCTAAAATAAGCATTTAAAGAATGTGTCAATATCAACTTAAATCAGTGAGAGCCACGAAAAGATAAAAGCAAAATGACCCTTACT